CCGCCTGCCATTAACCAGGGTGTTGCCCCCAGGTCCCCTTGCCTGCAGTGCCTGTCACCATGGTGGAGCTCAGTGCCAAAGTCACCAAGACGCTCAACAAGACCACGCCAGGGATCCAGATATGGCGAATCGAGGTGGGGTGGGTGGCACAGCCTGGGGACCCGTCACTTGGCTACCTAGGGAGGCTGTGGGAGGGAAGGTCCCCCCTTTGTGCCCTCAGTGCTGGAGTTCGGGGGTCTCAGAGTGGGACCCAGGGTTAAACCTGCTCAGGTGTTGGGGCTGGGGACAATGGGGTGTATGGGGCTGGGGTGGGAGATTTCCTGCCAGGGCTGACATCTGCCTTCCTTCTGCAGAACATGGAGATGGTGCCAGTGCCCACCAAAAGCTATGGCAGCTTCTACGAGGGGGATTGCTACGTCCTGCTCTCGGTAGGACAGCCTGGGGTGACGCGGGGACACACTCTGCCCTGGGAGAGGCTGGGGGGGAGGGAGGGGTGTCCCTGCCCAGAGCAGCCTGGCGGGCACACAGGGCACATCTAACACGGGCTGGTGCCCCACAGACACGCAAGACTGGGAATGGCTTCAGCTACGACATCCACTACTGGCTGGGCAAAGAGTCGAGCCAGGACGAGCAGGGGGCGGCTGCGATCTACACCATCCAGATGGACGACCACCTGGGCACGGTGGCTGTGCAGCACCGCGAGGTCCAGGGCCACGAGAGCGAGACCTTCCGTGCCTACTTCAAGCAGGGACTCATGTATGTTGGTCACCCCCAGGGAACCTGCTCCCTGGGGGAAATGTGGGTGATGGTGGGGAGGGGTCCTCTGTATGCCCTCCATGGGGACATCCCCAGCAGGGATGGGGACAGCTCTGTCCCAGTGGGGTGGAGGCAGGAGGAGGATCTAGAGCTGGTCTAGCTCCATCCATCATCCACGTGGGTGGGTGGGGGTCCTCAAACACATCCCTCTGCACAGAGGTGGGAAGGGAACCCCACTAGAATGAGAAGGGGCAGCTGACATCCTGTCTGTACCCCCCTCCCCTCCCCAGCTATAAGAAGGGTGGAGTGGCCTCGGGCATGAAGCATGTGGAGACAAACACCTACAATGTCCAGCGCCTGCTGCACGTGAAGGGCAAGAAGAACGTGGTGGCAGGAGAGGTGAGTTATGGGATGTGGGGGGTCACCATCACAAATCTCTATTCAAAGATGCCATTTAGGGTCAGGATCAGGCCAGAGCCCCCCTAGATACATCTGCCTTCAAGCAGGGGACAGAGTGGGTGTGGGGCCATGCCACCTTGCCTCAGGAGCAACCCCCCCCCCAAAAAAAAAGCCCCTTTTGGAGTTGAGACGAGAAATACAGACTGATGGAATCACCAATGAGCCAGGGAAGGGGGGGGGCTGTGGAGCCCAGGGGACCCAGGCATCCTGCTGCTTGACCCACCCCCCAATCCTGTCCTGCTGCAGGTGGAGATGAGCTGGAAAAGCTTTAATCGGGGTGATGTGTTCCTGCTGGACCTGGGCCAGCTCATCATCCAGTGGAACGGCCCTGAGAGCAACCGGAACGAGAGGCTGAGGGTATGGCTGGAGAGTCCCCGGACCCACTCCTGGAGGAAGGGGGTGATTGGCCTCCCCCCTCCCCAGTCCAGGCTGACCCCTTCTCCCCTGCATGTAGGCGATGACCCTGGCCAAGGACATCCGGGACCGGGAACGTGGGGGCCGTGCCAAGGTGGGTGTGGTGGATGGTGAGAACGAGGGCGCCTCGCCAGGGCTCATGCAGGTCCTCACACACGTGTTGGGTGAGAAGAGGGACATCAAGCCGGCCATCCCTGATAACCAAGTGGACCAGCACCTTAAGTCTTCCCTCAAGCTCTACCAGTGAGTTGCTGGGGGTGGGTCGCCCAAAGGGGCACCCATCTCTGCTATGTCCCCACCAAGAGGGGTCAAGGGCAGGGCAGGGGTGGGGACAGGTCCTTTGGATGCTGTTGGAGCAAGGGGAGCACCTGGTGCCAATGGGGTTGGTACCTGATGGAGAGATGCTCTTGCAGGTGTGAGCTTTGGATATTATGGCAGCGTCCCCAGGTGGCCCCATCACATCTGCCATCCCTTTGTCCCTCTTAATGGCCAGGAGTGAGCTGCATGGCAGGGCAAGCTGCAAGCCATGTTGCCACCATGGCAGGGCAAGAGGGGACACTGGGTATCCCCCCTGCCATGATCAGGATGGGGAGGGGACCCCACCACTCAACCCTGCCACCCTAAGGTGGGGATAGGGAGGAGATTTTCCAGTTCCATTTCTAACCCCTCATCCTCACTTTTCCTCTGCCAGTGTCTCCAATGCCAGCGGGAACCTGGTCATACAGGAGGTGGCGATTCGACCGCTGACTCAAGACATGCTCTTGCATGAGGTGTGTCACCCATGGGGTGCTGAGGGGTGCCCAGTTCCCTTGGCGGTTGTAACTCTAAAGCTTAAGCTGTCCAAAGTCCCAGTTTCTGCTGTTGTCCCCCCTCCAAGGACTGCTACATCCTTGATCAAGGAGGTCAGAAGATCTTTGTGTGGAAGGGCAAGAACGCCAACAAGGAGGAGAAGCAGCAGGCGATGAGCAGGGCGCTGGTGAGTGCTGGGTCATGGGTTGGTTGTGGGGTAGCCTGGGTGGTCCCCAGGGTTCCAGGCACCCCATGTCCACAATCTGGGTCTGAATCTATCCAGGGCTTCATCAAAGCCAAGAACTACCCAGCCAGCACTAGTGTGGAGACAGAGAACGATGGGTCTGAGTCAAGCGTCTTCAGGCAGCTCTTTCAAAAATGGACTGTCCCTAACCAGACCAGTGGATTGGGCAAGACTCACACCGTGGGCAAAGTGGGTGAGTGCCCCTTTCTGGCACTGCAGGACTCCCTGGATTGGAGGGGGGGTTGTGTGGTGGGGATGGGGAGGGGAGGCTGTGGGGACACCCACAGCCAGTGGATGACAGCTCAGCCCTCTGCCCTTCCCCACAGCCAAGGTGGAGCAAGTGAAGTTTGATGCCACCACACTGTATGCCAAGCCCCAGATGGCTGCCCAACAGAAGATGGTGGATGATGGATCCGGGGAGGTGGAGGTAAAGTGGCTGAGGTAGAATGTGGGACTCTCTTGGGGCACCCCGTGTGGGATCCCCTCAGGCCATGCCTCTCAGGGCACCCCTGGGCTGTACTGGGGGATGCCACGGGGCACAGAGGCTGCAAGACAGCAGAGTGATGCACCAGCCCTGGCAGCAGGGTGTCCCTGTTCCACCAGGTCTGGCGCGTGGAGAATAATGAGCTGGTGCCCGTGGAGAAGAAGTGGCTGGGCCACTTCTATGGTGGGGACTGCTACCTGGTGCTCTACACCTACACTGTGGGGTCCAAGGTGAACCGCATCATCTACCTCTGGCAGGTGAGACCCCCAGGTGACTGACAGAGGTTGGAGACAGGGCCACCTTCCCAAATTGGGGTTGCTCTGTCCCTACACATGATCCCATGGGAACAGCATGAGTGTTCTCTCTTCCCCAGAGGGAAAAGGGGGCTGTGATGGGCACTGAGCTCCTGTCTGTCTTGCCCAGGGCCGCCAAGCCACCACAGATGAGCTGGCTGCCTCTGCCTACCAAGCTGTCCACCTGGACCAGAAGTACAACAACGAGCCTGTGCAGGTCCGCGTCACCATGGGCAAGGAGCCAGCCCACCTGATGGCTATCTTCAAGGGCAGGATGGTGGTGTATGCGGTGAGTGTGGGGCTGCTGGGAGAGGGGGGCAGGCAGGTGGGTGAACCTGTGGCATCCGTGGTGACCTCCTGTCCCCCCAGGGTGGCACCTCACGGGCAGGCAACACGGAGCCCACCCCCTCCACCCGGCTCTTCCACGTGCACGGCACCAACGAGTACAACACCAAGGCCTTCGAGGTGCCCGTCCGTGCCTCCTCCCTCAACTCCAACGATGTCTTTGTGCTGAAGACCCCCAGCTGCTGCTACCTCTGGTATGGGAAGGTGAGTACTGCCAGACACTGGGGTGGATGCTGCCACCCCTGAGAGGAACCTCCCCATCTCCTCCTCCTCTTTCTTGGCTGGGGCCAGTGGTGGAGCAACCACGCTTGCTTGGCAGGGCTGCAGTGGGGACGAGCGTGAGATGGGCAAGACGGTGGCCGACATCATCTCCAAGTCAGAGAAGATAGTGATTGCAGAGGGACAAGAGCCATCTGAGTTCTGGGTGGCTCTGGGGGGCAAGTCCCAGTATGCCAACAGCAAGAGGTACCTGTGCTGTGCTTGGGAGTCCCTTGTCCCCACCCACCCTCAGGGGCCACCAGTCTCAAGTGGGATGAGCCCTGTTCCCACCACTGCTGCCATGTTACCCCCTACCAGGCTGCAGGAGGAGAACCCCTCTGTGACTCCCCGACTCTTTGAATGCTCCAACAAGACAGGCACCTTCTTGGCCACAGAGATTGTAGACTTCACCCAGGATGACCTGGAGGAGAATGAAGTTTACCTGCTAGACACCTGGGACCAGGTGAGCCAGTGGGGCATGGGACCATCTTACATCCCACAAGCTCATGTCCTGTAGGGTGCAGGATCTGTAGCAACCAGAGGTGGTGGGATGAGAAACTCGAAACCCCCATGACCCCGCTCCACAGTTTTTCTTCAGCCCTCTTGGTCCAGAGCCAGTTGAGGATAGACTCTCCCAGTGCCCTTCCCCACGGATGGATCCTGTGTGCTTCCAATGATGAGTCAGGCATGGCCCCAGAGGGCCCTGTTCCATGCCTGTTGCACCATGACCTCGTTGCAGGTTTTCTTCTGGATTGGGAATGGTGCCAACGAGTCGGAGAAGGAGGCGGCAGCAGTGATGGTGCAGGAGTACCTACGGAACCACCCCAGTGGGCGGGACCTTGACACCCCCATCATCGTGGTGAAGCAGGGCCACGAGCCACCCACCTTCACTGGCTGGTTCCTGGCCTGGGACCCTCTCAACTGGGCTGTGAGTCATGGAGGGAAGCTGGAAAGACCAAGTGGGCCTTTGGCAGATGGGACCAGATGTGGATCTGGCCCCAGCCAGCACCTCCAAGCTGTGCAGGTTGGGGTTTGCCTGGTCCCTGCCTGTGCTGAGGTCTGAGCGTGTGTGTTCCCGTCCCAGGACAAGAAATCCTACGAGGCACTGAGAGCTGAGCTGGGGGATGAGAGCAGCCTTGGGCAGCTCACCTCGGTAAGTGGCACCAGGAGAGGGGGTGGGAGGGTGCACAGAAAGCTCCCCTGCCCCCTTGGCAGGTGGCATGAGGAGATGCAAGGACACATCCTCCAGTGAGGGGACACTTGGAGCTGACCTGGTACGAGCGTGAGATGGGCAAGACGGTGGCCGACATCATCTCCAAGTCAGAGAAGATAGTGATTGCAGAGGGACAAGAGCCATCTGAGTTCTGGGTGGCTCTGGGGGGCAAGTCCCAGTATGCCAACAGCAAGAGGTACCTGTGCTGTGCTTGGGAGTCCCTTGTCCCCACCCACCCTCAGGGGCCACCAGTCTCAAGTGGGATGAGCCCTGTTCCCACCACTGCTGCCATGTTACCCCCTACCAGGCTGCAGGAGGAGAACCCCTCTGTGACTCCCCGACTCTTTGAATGCTCCAACAAGACAGGCACCTTCTTGGCCACAGAGATTGTAGACTTCACCCAGGATGACCTGGAGGAGAATGAAGTTTACCTGCTAGACACCTGGGACCAGGTGAGCCAGTGGGGCATGGGACCATCTTACATCCCACAAGCTCATGTCCTGTAGGGTGCAGGATCTGTAGCAACCAGAGGTGGTGGGATGAGAAACTCGAAACCCCCATGACCCCGCTCCACAGTTTTTCTTCAGCCCTCTTGGTCCAGAGCCAGTTGAGGATAGACTCTCCCAGTGCCCTTCCCCACGGATGGATCCTGTGTGCTTCCAATGATGAGTCAGGCATGGCCCCAGAGGGCCCTGTTCCATGCCTGTTGCACCATGACCTCGTTGCAGGTTTTCTTCTGGATTGGGAATGGTGCCAACGAGTCGGAGAAGGAGGCGGCAGCAGTGATGGTGCAGGAGTACCTACGGAACCACCCCAGTGGGCGGGACCTTGACACCCCCATCATCGTGGTGAAGCAGGGCCACGAGCCACCCACCTTCACTGGCTGGTTCCTGGCCTGGGACCCTCTCAACTGGGCTGTGAGTCATGGAGGGAAGCTGGAAAGACCAAGTGGGCCTTTGGCAGATGGGACCAGATGTGGATCTGGCCCCAGCCAGCACCTCCAAGCTGTGCAGGTTGGGGTTTGCCTGGTCCCTGCCTGTGCTGAGGTCTGAGCGTGTGTGTTCCCGTCCCAGGACAAGAAATCCTACGAGGCACTGAGAGCTGAGCTGGGGGATGAGAGCAGCCTTGGGCAGCTCACCTCGGTAAGTGGCACCAGGAGAGGGGGTGGGAGGGTGCACAGAAAGCTCCCCTGCCCCCTTGGCAGGTGGCATGAGGAGATGCAAGGACACATCCTCCAGTGAGGGGACACTTGGAGCTGACCTGGTGCCTCCATCCCTGGGGCATCCCCTGATGCGTCCTCATATCCCCCCCCATCCAGGCATTCACATCCAAGCAGGAAGTCTTCACTGCCACCACCTCCCTCGTCCCTGAAAATCTGGAGACCTTCCCCCTGGATGTGCTGGTGAACACTGCAGCTGACGACCTGCCACGGGGTGTGGATCCCAGCAGGAAGGAGGTGAGATGAGGCCGGGAGGCTGCTGGGGAGGAACTAGGGGAAGCCCCCAGGCTTTAGCTCAGCTCCCTCTCTCCTCCCCTAGTACCACCTCTCCGACCAGGACTTCAAGGCTGTCTTTGGCATGACCCGCTCCGCCTTTGGCGACCTGCCCTTGTGGAAACAACAGAACCTCAAGAAGGAAAAAGGACTCTTCTAGGGCAGAGCCTGTGCTCAGGGACAGTCTCAGCTCATTATTTTTATTAAATAAAATGTATTTGGAGAGCGGGGCTGCATCTTCCTCCCTGACCACTGGGCTCAGCCCAGGCATGGGGCTTTCTTGGCAAAGAGATGTCACACAGGGGACATGCAGATATGAACTGGGCACTGAGGAAGAAGAGGGAAGGACCCTCAGCTCCTTCTCCTGCAGATCCTCCATCCCCCTGGGCTCAGAGGTGATACACAAGCTACCTACCACCCAGGCACTCCCAGGGCTCCCCTGTCCTACCTTGGCAGCTGCAGCTTGGGGCTAAAGGTCTGATATCCAGCTGGAGCCGCTCCCTCCGTTATCTCCTGATCCTCAATAAACACGTGCAGTACCAAAGGTAAAAGCCACAGCCTGAGGGGATGGGTGTGTGGGGACAACACCTGCTGGGGATGGTCACCAGGGTCCACTTATCCTGTCCCCAGGAGATGAGGAGGGTACCTCCGTCTTACTTGGGATCCACAGGGACACAGAGAGGTGCTGGAGGGTCCCGTGCAGGGACATGTCCCTGGCAGGGGTCTGGGATTTGTGTGTGCTGGGAGGCACCGAACACACACAAGATGTTCCTGGGCAAGTGAGCAAAGTCCCAACAGCAACCGTGGGGCGGAAGTGCAGAGCCCATCTACCACGTTCAACAGGCAGCAGCCCAGGCACTGTGGAAATAAGATCTCAGCCCAAGAGAGGGTTAATAAAGAGGTTTTTATTTCACAAAAAAAATCTATCTATATATCATTTAAAAAGGGGTTGGGGGAACCCAAAAGCAAAAACTGTAAATAGAGAGGAACAGCTCTGCTAAAACACAGAGAAAAGTGCTGTTCCACAGCAACAGTGTTAAAAACCAAGAAGTTGGGGTGCAGGCAGAAACCAGCAGCAGAAACCCCACAGGAGGTGAGGCTCAAGTCCAGCAGCAGAGCTACACTGAAGGCAGCTGCCAGGGGTCCCACACCCCTTCTTCTCTCTTTGGTGGGCAGTTACAGGGATAATTAGCTCCATTAAAAAGAAAACAAAGAAGATGAGTTATTCCCAGCTTTCCCTCCCCCCCTCCCTCCAGTATGGCAGTCCCCCCATGCCAGGGTGAACTCCAGCAGGAAGCCCTGGGCTGGCAATCAGCTCTTCCTCGGGATGTGGGACAGGAAGGAAGATGCACAGGCGATGGTTATCTGTGCCACATGGAGCCAGGGGTGGAAGGTGATGCCATGGTCAAAGGCATCAGTGAGCTCCTCCTCCTGCTCGCTCCTCATTGCTCTCAGGCTGCTGCTTTGGTCAGGAAACCAGTCCTGGCTCTGCAAGGGCTCTTGGTGAAAGCTCCCCAGAGACCCACACGCACGAGCTCCAGTTCGTGGAGACGAACAGTTTTGCACCTCTCTGAGTAAGGGAGTAAATCAAGACCAGATTATCACTGTCAAACCATTAAGGGGCACGAGGAACAGCACGATGGAAGCTCCTTGCATTTATATGCTGAATCACACTTGGACTAAACCAGGCTGATTCAGGAGCAGGTAAATGTTTAACCACAACTCTATAAATCTGAGGAAGAGCCCGCACGTGTTCAGGGGCTGCAACTGACCTTCTCTACCTACCTATAGCCCTGGATGGATACTCCATCTGGGAGGGACAACCTTCCTGACCTTGCTGCTGTGACAGCATGAGGGGTGGGTGTCGTTACAGCACCTCCCTTGAGGATCACACACATTTTCCTCCACGCTGCTCTTGCACAGGCAGAAAGCTGGCTTCTGCAAGGAAGGAGCTCCATGGACACACTCTTGCCAGGGTGAAGGTGCAACTGAGCTGCCATATGCCAAAAAAAACACTTAAACTAATTAACAGATTTCTGCAAATTCTTAATAGCTATAATAAGCAGCAAGAACTTTTCACAAAACAAGAAATCCTGGTTTCAAGCATCAGCTTTTGCAACTTGATCCAAACAAAAAAACTGGTTTTAAACAAAAGTTGCTGCACTGAAAAGTCAGGCAATGTTTGCTTTTATTATAAATTAATCAAAGTGCAGAGCCTTGCAAAAACAACCTTGCCACCCAAAAAAGCAGAGCTGACTTCTGATACTACAGGAACACCACTTATTTACAGCACTAGCATAGGATGCGCTTGAGGAAAAGAGATTTGCCCTCTGGATGGAGCAGTTCCCTTCGTCACATTCGCAGGGATGATCAGTGATAACACGTGGCATTAGAGCCTGAGTCTGCTGTTAGCAAGGCTGGGATCAGACTGGAGAGTTCAGCTAGGCTGTGACTGTGTCTGTACATTCTTAAAATGACACACTTTGGCAGCTAACAGCCGACTCAACCTGGGAAAGCTCAGAGGGGTTTCCCACTTGTTTGCTCTTTGAGCAAACTCTTACAAAATCCTGGTTCTAAACTGAAGTGATTTGCAAGGCTGTGGGACTCAGCAGACTCATTTGAAACAATTCACAATGAAAAAACAGTTCAGAAAAACGTTAATTGAAACATTCAGAAACAAGATTAAGGCAGGGGAACCAAAGGACAGCTCCCACGTCACTACCTCTTTCCCATTGCTCAGAATTCTACCAAAATTAGTATACTGACAATAGAAAAGTATACCACTTTGTAATAAATTAACATACACACCCACTCGGGCTGCCTCTTGCAAGATAAACGTTCTCTCATGTTTACAACCAAACGCTGGCTCCGAGCTCAGAAACCACAAAGAAGTTCCCCCGATCAGGTCCACCAGGCTCTTCACACAAGTGAGCTGGAAGGTCAGTCAGTCTTTGCACCGCGCTGGGATCCCCAGATACTCAGCTTGGGGGGAACCACCCATGGAGGTTGCTCACTGTGGCACACAGAGAGGAGAAGAGGCCACTGAGGCAGCATCCTTGTGCCAGCCAGCTAGAATAAACTCCGGTGTGGAAGTACCCATGAAAGAGGTGCCTGCTGCCTCCTAAATCAATGGTTTTGTCTGCTTTGCTTCAGTTCATTTATTCCTGAGAAACTCCTAATGATAGTTAAAAAAACCCAGAAACTATCCTGAAAGCAAAAAATGGTGGGCTTTTTTATTTGTTTCTTTTTAAAAAAGAAGTCTTTCACCTCAAAAACTCAAGCTGCAAAACTCAGAACTAGAGGCAAAAACAAGAGCAACTACTCTGCTTAACAGCAACATTTTCTCTGAAATAAGTAAATGCCAGCAAAAGGAAACTACTGCCCCTGCTAAATAAGTGTGAAGGTGGTGAAAAATTGAAGTCAGGAGGCTTTTCCCTCCCTGCTGAAACAAGCTATAGAAGAAGCATCGTGTCTCTAAAGCAAATACAACACAGCACTTCTTCCTAACTGTGTTCTGTTAGTGCTGAACGTGGGCTTTCTGAAAGCTTTCCACCTGGTTTAGTTTCACAGTATCAGTGCTCTGCACTCCTCAGAAAGGAGACCAGAGGCATAGCTGCAGTGAAAACCCTCTAATGCTGGCATATGAGAAGATCAAGGCAAGACCATGGTTCAACCACAGAGCACTTCAAGTGCCATCCTGCAGATCCTGCCTTTTCCCACCGTTCCCGATTCACCGTGACCCAGGCCTGTGCAGGAAAGATTAATGCTAGAAAGTTCTTTCCCTCCCAGAAGATGACAGGTGGCTGTTGCTCACCTCCTGCTACCATTCTTGGTCTGCCCCCAGTCACATGGAAGCAGCCCTAAGCAATACAGCTTCAGTGCTAAACACTGCACACCCAGAGAGAGGCCTCTCCTCTCCACACACTACTTATGCAACAACCTTATGAAGAGAACACAATCGAGTAACACAACTTGTAAACCAACAGAAATCACAAATATAATCTCACATCTAAAGGAGAACGACAGTGAATGGTGTAAAAAAAACAACCAACCAAAACAAACCCGACAGAGCTGCCACCAGGTATGCAATACATTCCACAGCACCAACAGTTTGTTTCCTGGGATTGCATGTAACCAGCAGAGCACTTACAAACCCATCGATGTCAAAACACATCAGCTTGAGTGATTCCAAAACGCCTGCTGGGGAGATGACTGGCAAGAACCCACTCAGTAATCTGGGTCTCCAGTGAATATTACTAACACAACACACACCAGGTTACAGAATCTATTGCTTAAATTGCTCTTGGAGAAAAGAAAATTAAAAAAAAAAAAAAAAAGCCAAGTGATATGTAAATCTTCATCACTCATGTCTCACAGGTGTGAAAGGGCTTTTAAAGTCAAGTCTCTTTTTGCACTATTTTTTTTCTTTTTAAAATCAGTTTATGAGCAGCTGTAGTCCTGTGGCTTGATGCAACTCTTTAAGGCTCCATGCTGACAAAATTATTTGAGGAACAAATAAAAACTTCACCGCAGGAGGATCACTCTGGGATGTAAAGGATTAAACGTGTGGTTCAGGCCCAGGACTTGCACAGATGGTTCAACAAACTGAGCGTCCCATATTTCTACCTTTTGTCTCTTGTTTTGGCCCTGAGCTGTTTGTTAGTCCTGCATGTCTGGCACAAGTTCAGAATCCTCCTTGTTCCTCAGGAGGAACAAGGTGTTTTACTCTTCACAGAGGCTGACGAACCGATCTTCCTACTTCCATGCTAAGTGGCTGTGCATTTTTTTCTGTTTCTAGTAACTCATCGAAGATATCCCTAGAACAGAGGGAAAGACCAACAGTGAAACTTCTGTACAACAACCAAATGCTGCACGAGACAGCCTTGAGGGAACCGACAACTGGATTTAATCCACAAACTCCAGCGTCATGGGTCCTGGCAGAGAAAAGTGTCTTATCTGGCATCTCTGAGCAAGACTCCTTGAATCCCAAAGTGTTTGGTTTTTTTCCCCTGCCTTTATTACAATGAATAAGGTCACCAGTAAGCCTCAGAGAACAGTAACAATAGTGAAAATAAGTCCTGGCTGGTAAAAGGATCAGAAGCAACACAAGACACAGCCTGTAGATAAAGTAATATCCTTTGTTAGAGCCACCAGTAAAGACAGAAGAGGGGGACAAACTGTGGCACAAAACCCATTCTTCAGTTCTGTATGCCTGAGAATATATCCCTTCTACCTACAAATCTTATGTTGCTCGTGTCCTGAGATGACCATGGCTGCAACAACATAAGCACTAGGAGCAGGGATAAGGGCATTTACAAATACCACAGCACTTAATGGAAAAGCCCAAACTCCATTATGACTCCTAGTGCAGCAAATGCATAGCTGAGACACCAAATTCCTTTCTTAAAAGATGATTTAAAGCATCTTGTTAAAACCCTATGTGCTGGTGACATACAATTTCACGCTTCTGAACTTGGAACACTTCAATTTTGCCTTTCTTGCATATATTTCTGACTACAGTTTCTTCTGACAAATATATGGAGATATGGCTAGAGGAAGAAGAGAAGTCTGCTTCCTCCCAAATGGCAATTACTAGCACCACCTACTTGTGCATGTAGAAGAAGATGTAGCCGCTTCGGTCTCTGTCACACTGAACGGTGGCCTCTAGAGTTCTAGACACTTCCAAGTCATCGTAAGTGAACCAGGACTGATTCTTGATATCATAGACATCACTGATATAATGACCTTAAAAACAGAGAAGGCACCTTTCTTTTCATGCTGCAGTTCAACCAGATTTAAATGCTAAAGCACCCTTAACATCTTGGTCAACGAGCTGGTAACAACCACAAGCAGTTCCACAGACCCCACAGGCAGCACTTCACCCTCATGCCCCAGTTAGGCACCATGGCATCCTCAACCTGCTCCCCCACCAGCCAGCCACAGTGACAGACTTGCTTCGCTGTCCACACACTTCTCTGCAAATAACCCTGCTATGGTAATTTTGCATTACAGCTTTTGAAAGCTGGGTAAGAGATTAAGAGTCAAACGTGGTATCTTCTACCTGAAGATGACGTGCTTCCGATATGGCTGACGATGCTGATGAGACGATAGGAGTGAGGAAGCTCTCCTGTCTGAAAATAAAGTCCAATTAAAGCTTTTAGGCACTTGCTTTTGTCCCCCATGGACAAGAAGATTTATACTCAACGTAACAGCTTTATTTACTGTATTCAAAGCTGCAACCCAATCAAAGATTTCAGAAAGATGCCCCAGTTCAGACCAAACTAAGAGTCCTTCCAAAAGTGGGGAAAAAGCCTCCCATCTTATTAAATCTTTCAGCAAGCCAATGAACATGCAAGGAAGCCACTCTGACCTCAGAACAGATGCTGACATGAGCTCTAAGCTGCAGAGTTTTCTAAACAACCATTTCCTGAGTGACTTCCACTGATGTCAGAATTAATCCACCAAATAAACACAGAACAGCGAAAGGGGAACACTATGCTCACTTCTCAAATATCAAAGAAATATCCTTGATAATGGTACACAGTTTAAACAGCTAATGCCAGATATGCAGCCCAAGTTTTCTCATCCTCCACCTATAACATCAGCAGACTATGTCCTCTTAGCATGAAGGAAACATGCTCTGCCTACTCACTGACAATAAAACTAAATGATGGTAATTGGCCATTATTTTTTAATCTGCTCTGACCAGGAAATATTATTTATATGATTCACTGACAATACTCTTAAAATCTTAACTCGTGGTTTAAGGGTAAGGAAATTGGTAGAGAATTGTAAGAAAATAAAAACTGCTCAAAAAAACTCCAAATATTTAACTTTTTCCACTGTACACAGTAGTCCTTTCACTGAGGCAGGCAGGCAACTTTCACAACACTGCTCTGTGAAGTCTGAGAGTGCTAGTGGCCAGCAGCACAGCCTTGGTTACAGTTATGTTCCACCTAACGGGAATATGATCTTGCCACAATTTCTCAGCTCTTGTGGTACAGGATCAAGACAGAAGCCCAGGGAGTTGCAATTAAACTCCTACTTCGAATGAAGTCCTCTCTCCCTTTATGGAAAAACTTCAAGCCCATTGCTTTACATGCACTGAAACACTTCTGGTATAAAAGTTACTGTTTCCTTTTCACCATTATTCCCATCCTGGAGAAACTCAGAGGGTCTCTGCAGTTGTTTCATTTAAAAAAAAAATAAGATAACACAGTAGAACAGAATCTTAAGGACAGAAATGATCTGTCTTCAATTTTAAACACAAAAGACCTTTCTAGACTCCGCATCTGCCCTGTAAAACTACCTCCAATACTAAACTGATGGTAAACAAGGGGTATATTTCTAAGCTGGCTTTTGAAATCATAGATCACACCTCAGCGTTTCTTTTCAGCTCTTCTGCTTCAGCTTCTGAATACTTCATGTCAAGAACATCCTCATTCCCAGAGTCTTCATCAGAACCAGCGCTGTCCAGGAAAGAGCTGTTAAACTCTAGAGAGCATGGAAACAATGACACTGCATGAGAAGCCTTGGAGCACACAGGAATTCACAACAGGTTGAGGTCTATCTACCCACATAAAACATCAGCATTTTATTGTGCTTGTTTAAGCTTCCTCTCCAAGGAAAGCAGGAAATATTGGAATTTCCAGATGGAAACTCTCCCTTCCCCAACAAAAGCAATAGTTAAGAAAAGTTAGCTTGGACCACAGAATTAATTTCATCATCATCTCTCTCATACTTTTATGAAAGGGCACTAGGGCAGTGACAGCTGGGTGAGAGAAGAGCTTAAACACCCAATTCACCCCAGAGCACTGGGGGTCTGCAGCCAGAACTGACACTAAAAGAAGTACAGCCAGTCTGGTCAGAGAACTGGAAGTTTCTGCAATGAGAAGCTATGAATTACAATTTTAGCTATAAGATGCATTAACAAAGTGCATTTTTCAATTAAAACTGGCATCAAAATGCTACTGCTGGCAGCAGGCATCTTTTCATTGTTTTCTATGGTAAGAAGGCTGCTCACCACAGGAACTTCCAGTTTGCTTGGCTGAGCAAAGTGCAGGCAGCTTTCTGTAAAGAGCCGGAAGGCACCACTGCTCCCTGTACATGCTGTTCCAAACTTCCTGGGATTCTGCAGCTACCCAGCTATAGGATTTTGTGCAGTACTCATTAGGAGAAGCAGCTATGTTTTCACCAGCTAAATTAATGTTATGAAGTCCCGGTTGGATCAGAAGTTGACATTAACAGGACACTGTTCAGGGTACTGTTTTGTTTTTCCTTAAAGAGACTACCATGCCAGCTCTGATGGAGATGTTTTGCCAAAGAGATTCTCACACTGCTTCCCCCATTAAACCATCTGATGCTGGATTAGTATAATCTTCTTGGGAAGTTTATAGATTAATCCCTTTAACAGAGAATATTTTACTGCTGCTTTCCACATTTAATTGGGCTGCTCTAAGCTAGACTACAGCCAAGAAATGCAGTCACTTAGGTAGTTCTCTGCATGAAGCACTTGCCACAGGTATTGTAAAATGCCACCCCACCAATGGTCCACAGGGAGCTAGTGGTTTTTTGATTGCAGGACCACTGGGAACCATTCTAAGATAAAATACCACCAGATCTATGCCCAAGATTATTAGCATCTCCTGCTGGCTGACGCCTTACAAATGACACAGTAGCAAGTTGAGAAGCACAAGGCAATGCTCATGTGACTGCAAATCAGAAGGAGGAAGGATTTCTAAGGCTGGATTCTTCCCAGCCATGAACCAAGGCAGACCTGAGAGGAACCAGGCACTCAGTCTGCTGGAGCTCACCAGGGGACAGGATTGAGGCCGAGGGACATTTAAGCAGCGTTCAACATCTTTCAGAAGCAGACACAGGTTCATCCAGTAATACCTGAGGGCCTTTAAAGGTGTCTGAGCAACTATGAGTATCTTAACACTTCTTTACCCTTCCCTCTCTCTCTTCAGAGCAGGAATTTTCTCTCAGTTATGCTTTGCTCTCCCAAACTGTATGAACACACACTCACATGCCATCCTCCCACAAATGTAAAACAGTGCCTGAGGCTCACCACGCTGTCTGGATTTGGAAAAGAGAGACAGTGTATTTTGTTTCTTTTTTTCACCCCCAACAGCTATACCTTACAGGGAGGTCTGTCTCCCTTCCATCCTTCCTGTATCAAGACAGATACAGCACTTACTCATTTGTCTGGGCAGGGCCAATGCATTCGTTCATCAGCACTATAATACCAATGCCAGGAAGAAATAATCCTTATCCTCTGACTAGAGCCATTAGCATACTGGCTTTTACTGGAAATGCAAAGTTTCACAGTCCATTTTGCTACATATATTAATATAATGCCTATTTAATATTATATGAATATTCTATTAGAGATGTAGCAAATTATTTTTTATATATAACTACACATTTGTTTACATATAAAAATAAAATTAAAAACTCAAGAGACTAAGAGAAGTTATTTTTCATATTTAGTTTTTCCTGGAATTTGCTTTCACAAGAGGGAGCAAGAAAAGCTGACCTGAGCAGAGCCAAACACAACGAAGCACACACCAACAGAGCATGGAATCCCAGCTGTCTTACAGGCACTCGGGAGCTGCACTCATACATACAGGTCTATTTTCCCTCAAAAACAACATCCTGGAAGAAGTTAAATAAGTTTCACCTTGTAGACTTAATAACGTGGCTCGCTGAAGGTCATCATCTTCTTTTTGTTCTCGTGCCTCCTGATGGGAAGAGAACAAAACTTAGCTCACTGAGACACTTCACTATTTAAAATTCTTGTGGTGCTCTTTTTCCATTGAAACCGGTTTCTACAACAAACCCGACATTGTAAATTAAAGGTTCTGTGTGAAGGAATGTTTGCAACCAGTGAGAGTCCAATGTTCCTGTGCAACAGAACCTGGGACAAACCTTCATTAAGGCTTGTCAAAGCTCCTGGAGTTTGGTATGCAGCAGAGCAAGTCTCTAGTAACTCTCAACACTTTCTCTGGATCATTAATTTGAAAAGCATCTGAATGAATTTGCAACCCTTTGCTAAGGAAAGCTGTCACTTATACACAAAGCTCCTCGCACTTCGGCAAAATTTAGACTTCTGCCCAAAGCCAGCTGAGGACAGTCACTAAATCCTGACAGCTTTTATTATTTTTAAGCCATTTGGAAGTAGAGCCAGTAGTTCTGTGTAACAGGTGTAATTCACAAAGGCAGGATGCAAAAAAAAAAAAAAAAAGACATCACTAAACAAACAGGTACTAAAAATACATGAACAAGTAGCAAAGAAACCTCAAGTCAACCAACCCTTCTAATCTTTGTATAATATCATGCCTCTTTCTTCCTCCCACTCTTGAAAGCTCAGAGCCACAGCAAGCCAGTGAATAATATTGAATGAGCTGGCTTCTAAATTCAGGGTTTGAATGCCTTCAGTGCAACTGAACGCAGAGCCCTAACTACGTATTTCAAATCAGGATAACCACAGCTACTGCATTTCTATGCCTGAATCGTCAGAATAGCAGATTTTCACTTCAGAACTGCAGCAGAACATTCAAAGGGCAGTTTTACATTATTTGCATGAGGCCTTTTATCTCACTCTTTCTAAAGCAGTTGGGAATCTTGGTTAAACTACTTGGTGTTGCTGAATCGAAGCTACATCTGGCATGGAACACACCAACCAGCACCTCATAATGAGTAATGGGAGAGAAAACCCAGGAGCCATGGAAACATCAGATCTCATAAGGAAAACCATGACAGCTTTCATATTAATAGAGAGCAGAAAAGGGCACCTATTTAAAGGAAGACCTGGCTAAGTGCTTGCCTCGCAGTGGCTTGGTTAAACTTGTGGAAATCGGATAAAGATCTGGAAATTTAAGTGGAATACAGATGGTTGGCACACAGCTCGAGAACCTAATTCCTTCCAAGTCTAATTTAAAGGACTTCCTTTGGACTAAATTTTTTGGGATTCCTTTTCCAATTTACTAAGAGGGAAGGATCACACAGATGCTCAGATTCTATAGTCTTCACTAAGCATCCCCTCCTTGCTATCACCAGAAACAAAGCACTGGGCAAAACAGATCTTTAACCTGACCTGGCATGGCTTTAGCCTTTGCTTTGAAACCTGCTTCTTTCACTTCCAGCTTTGACATGACAAATTGCAAGGAGCAACTGCCAGAGAAGCTAAAGGTGGGCTTGGTTCTTGGTAACAGACAGTAAGAGTTTAGTTTAGTTTACCATCATTTTTATATAACATCAGAAGCCAGTGTATAAATGTGCATGGAAAGCTTTGAGAGATCTGCAGGTCTGTGATGTGATAAATGGTTTCTGAAGCACATACAAAATGTGCACAGACGTACCCAGTGCTGTCACTCTGCTGACACTGAAGCTAGAAGAAAGCCAAACCTTTTTTCATCTCAGAGAAGCAGTAGAATTCCTTTGCAGTTACTCTCCAAACACAAGTTTTTCCTTCAGTCATCAGGTTTCCAGTGTTGGGGAAAACAACTCAAGGAATTAAACTTTATTTCTTACTTGCTCTTGAAGGCTTTGAGCCAATGCCTGCTGAAGTTCTTGTTCTTCCCTTTCTCTCTCCATATCGTACTGCTGCAGCCAGTCAACCTCCCCCTGGGAGCCTTCTGGAGTTTTGTTTTCCTTATTCTCATCAAAATCTTTAGTTATCTCAGTGAAATTGGCAGGACCTGAGGAATTAGAAAGCACAGTTCTGTTTTCCTGGGTCTTCTGTTTGTTACCAGCTAAATCCTCTTTAGCTCCCCACAATCCTTGCAGCACAGTGACATCTATGGACAGGGAGAGCTCAGCAGCCACAAAAATCCCACACAACAGCCAAATGGAAAAAGCTCCAAAGCACAATCTTATGCTTATTTTAACAGGTGTAAGACAAACAGTTTGAATAATCCCTGAACCTGTTCTCTTCTTAAGCCTTTTATGTTCACTCAGAACCAGCAACTTTACCTAAAAGGAAAATGTCACACACCACCAGGTTTCTGCAGCTGTGATGCTGACACTTTAATGTCTCTAGAAGGAACTATGGATTATAAATATTTGCATTGACACTATACCTCAGAGCACTACAGACGAAGCCACAATTAAAGCCAAATCACATGCATGACAGAGGGAAGCTCAAATCCCAAGTACTGTTTAAATTTGTCAACTTTTTGCTTCAGGTATAAGCCTCAACCTTGTGAGCACTACAGTTTTAGAAATGGAAGATTATAACTTTTCAGTTCCCCTTTAAAGTGAACACTATGGCAGAAGTATTTTATAAAACTTTTGGAGTGAACATTCATTCAACCAGTTGCAGGACACTTCCATTCTCTCACATGCTTGCAGTTGAGAAGAGTCAGGACCTGCTCCAGTATCTATCATGCAGCAGCATGTGAAGCTTTAAACATCTGCTCATTAGTTATTAGAAAGGATTATACAAGGCAGGCTCAGTATCTGTGACCTCTTAAACACAAGACCACCAGAACTATAATCTGTCAGTCTAATCCTCTTAAGATGAAAAACAAAACAGACTCTATTATGTGACCTTTGAAAACTTTCAATGTAAAAAGAAATACACAACTGTTATTCAAGGATCATGTCACAAAAAAGACATTCTGCCAGATCTAAATTAGCCTTTTTTGAAAGCACCACAAATTATTTAGTGTTTACAAAAAAAACAAACCATAAATGATTACTGGTGGTAACAAGAAATGGACCAAGTTAAATCTGCTGTCATGTTGAGAATAATTTTGTCTGCTACAGCGAAGTATTATTTGCAGTTACGTTTCCCTTAAATAGAACACAGGATTGTGAACTCCCAGCATGTTATGTTCAGGTGCCATAAATGGTAACTCCACACGCAGAAACATATCTCATCTGAATGCCAAACTGGTATGCTTTGAGTAGTGCCTACACATCCCTAAGTGTCACAACAGAGCCTTCAAATAATTGCATTATGCTTTCCAAGGAAAACCTGGATAGAGAAGCATTTATGTGGCCACGGTCTCACAACTCTCTTTCACACAACCATAAGCAACATTAGTGTTTATAAGGAGGGCACAGACAAGGCTGACCACAGACTTTGTTTTCTTACACACTGCCATGAGACAAGTGTGATCTTTGGCAATAGAGTGGAGTTTGTTGTTGTTAGTATCTAATCTCCTGGCTCTTACAGTAGAAGGAAAACATTGTTTACCTGGTTTTCCATGCTAGTGGAATTACAAATCAACTGAAAGCATGTAGCACATAAACATTTAAATTTCCTTCCTCCAACTAAAGGAAGACACTCAGTTTCCCCACAGGGAGATGAAACAGAGTCCTTCTTGTACTTAACTCTTTCTGGGTCTTATGCTCAGGGATCTAGTCTCACATAAAGTATTAAAAAAACTACAGAGAGCTAAATTCATCAGTACCTAGTGACAAAATAACTGCATTTAAGAAAGCATTCAAATCTTATGCACTCCAGACATCACTTGTACACCAGCAATGTGAACACTGCTACCATACTGCCCAGGCTGCAGCAGCTACAGAAATGAAAATGCTTTCTGATTATGGAAGATTAAGTTCCAGACATGCCAAATCTTCGGAAATTGAATTGTCTGGTATGGGAGCCAGTGGAAGCATCTGTTAATCAGGCAAGAAAAAACATGAAACCAGCCTCTGAACATTACTGTATCTTTTTCAGAGAGGTGGCAGAAGAAAATATATTTTCATAGCTGAATGAATTAAGCACTTTGTATACAGGGCAACTCTAAGAAAACTGAGGAAGTCAGGCAGTTTCAGCAGTGCACTTACATCCAGATTCTGCCATCATACACTACTAACCTCCTGCTACCAGCAACCTGCTGTAGCTCACTAGGGTCCAATTAAGGCGGTTACTTCACCTCACCTGAGTCTAATGCTGCTTTGGGTTTCTCCATTTCCATAGATTCCAGGTTTTCTGGCAATTCCTGAATTTCGTCATCTCCAAAACCAGTGTCTGGGCTGCTTGTGGGCTTATCTTCATCATGGCTCAGAGACAGAGAAGCTTCCTTTTTGCTAATCTCCAAGACAGCTGCTAGCAGCTCGACTTCGCTCATCCCATCAAAACCAGCATTAGCCAGCTCAGGTTTATCACCCTCCATTTTACTTCTCTTTGAACCCTAGAGATGAATGGATTAATGATTAAGTGCTTGAATGAACCAGTATGTAACATCAGCTTTACATTTCTGTGGAGATTCTTTAGTTTTATTAACCCCAGGGAGTGGGAGCTTGGCTCTGTCAACATTAAACAGTTTTATGAGACTCGATGCAGACACCACCTTTGTAGCTACATTCACTCCAAGGAATAATATTTAAATATAAACTACAACCAGTTTTCACAGGCCCCCTGGATTAACATACATAAGATAATTCCTCCCTTCTCTTTCTTTTCTTCCAACACGTGTTCCACCTTTAGGTTCTGATGAAGCCTTAAGCCTCTGGTAAGCCAGCATTGAGGCACAGGTGGTAAAATTGCACGTTTGTTAACAAAGGCTGAAGCAGCAACATGAGAGTAACTGAACACAGGGAGAGGAAAACAGGAACTGGGATCAGGCTGGTATGAAGGGCAACTAAAATTAGGTTTGGTGTTGCAGCCTTGCTGTATGAAATCTTGGGGGGAGCAGGACTCGGGAAATTAAGTAAGAAAACAGTTAACCAGGGA